AAATGCTAATTGTGGACAGGCTGAGGAGCGGCATGTGGCGGCTTTGCCGTCCCACGATATCGACGTTGTCTTGCCTGCTGGCACTGATCTGCAGCTGTGGGCGGCGAAGGTTGTGCGTCGTGAGGGGTACTTCCGTGCGGTCCTGGTCCAGAGTCGCGGTCAGGTCCCAGCGACTCCGTGTGCTCGTCGTTGCGGCGGCACCACTGGTGCCTCTCCTTTTGTTGAGTGTCGTGTGTTGGCCAACTTCCAGGCCAATGCCTGCGCCTCGTGCGTATGGCAGAGCCGTGGTCTGCATTGTGACCACCATACGTGAGGGGTGGTGGCTTTTTCTTCTCCTGTATACTAGACAAATAGACTGTCTTCCTCACATATCCTTCTCTTCCAATCTTGTAATAAGAAAAATGAGTGCGTACGAAAAAAAAACAAAAGAGATAGGCCTTGTACAAAGGCGTTGTTAGTCTAGTTGGTCTAGGGCATCTTTGCGCACAGGATCTAGCCGGTCCACAGATGCTTCTATCTGGACAGAGAGGCGGTTGGTTAGGACTAATGATTGAAGAGCCTGGTTTGGTGTTTTCTTCGTACATGCATCCGCCGGGTTGTCTTTACCATTGATCCACCTAATCTCAGCAATTTCCCTCTTCTCGTACGATTCGCGGAGTGACATGATGTCAATCATGAGTCGCTTTTCGCTGGTAGTGCCTAGCTTAACAAGGCAATCGTACAGAGACCTTGAATCTGTGCAGATCACTACTGGGATTAGTGGCAGTTTGAGCGTTCGTACGATTTGCTGTAGAGTTGTACTAAGGGCAATTGCATTGTCAAACCCTCCAACCATTCCGTACAGTTCGCTGGCAAGGACACTCCTGGTTACTCTTTTACACTTAGTGGAATTCCAGTGTACAATGTTGCCTAGTATTTCAAAGCGGTCGCTTTGCTCTGTACGGTCCTCATTGCCTAATACAATTAAGAATCCTAGCTGTGAGCTAAGGTCCCTGTTGTTGGCAAATAATCCATCTGTAAAGATAAACAGCTTCGCACAATTAAGCTGCAATGGTAGGAAGGTGAGACCGCGCTCACTGTTGTCTATCTGCCATTAGATTCGTGCGTTAAGTGCGTTGATGTTGTCGTGCGAAGGGTCTGTGGTTTGTGCAGCAATAGACAGGTCAAATGCTGCCTCTAGTTGACACACAGATGCGATGTATGCCCCTCTCGCACGTTGCTCAACATATTGTTGTGCGGCATCCTTATCCTCTGGGTTAATTGTATAAAGGTGGCTTGCTTGTCCCTTCTGAGTGAGGACTACTGTGTCGTGCGTGAGTTTGATCCTTCTGCCGTTGAACTCAATAGGCTGCTTCTCTGCTAGGATAGTCTTGCCCTTCGCGCGGAACTTTGCCTTCTGCAGTTCCTCCTCTTCTCTTCGCGCAAAATCCTTTGTCACAATGCTTAAGGTGTTGTCTGTCTGCAGGCCAGTAATACTAAAGGTGTGCTCTCCTTCATCAGTAATTAAGAGGCAGGGGTTGTACAAAGAGATGTGCATGCGCAGCTTTTCTTTGTGGTGGTTATGATATGTCTTGAACCAATACAGTCCTGATTCGGCAGCTCCATACAAGGGTCGTACGACCTGGAGTATCGTATTTGGTGGAAAGCTCTGGCGCATCTCCTTCGGTGGCTTTGCGTACAGCGTGCGCATGAGCTTATCCGTTGATTGGATGTATGCTTGTGTGATATCGCGCAGTTTAAAATGCATTCTGTACGTAGCTCTCAGGCTCGCTCCTATGGCTAGGAGTAGTCTCTGGCTCATCCTCTGGATGGTTGGTGACTGGGTGAGGATTTCTCCCTTCTCTTCGTCCGAGTGGCCAGCAAACACTAGGCGGGATTTCTCGTACAGTTGGGTTGTTTTGCCTTTTACTTCTCGTACAAGGCGGAGGTTGAAAATCCGACCTTTGTGCCTCGTTGGGTTGTACGCCATAACCTTGAAAGTGCCGTTGGCGATTAGGGTGTCCATCTCTGTGCGGTCTGATTCCTCAAATGGCTCTCCAGGTGTAGTGATCACACCGTCTGTACGGAGCTTGATGGACAAGGCCCAATCATCCTTCTCCTTCTGGGTCAGGAATACCTGGTCTGGACTTCGTGCAGGTTTCCTTTGCCTTCCACTTCTCCTAGTATCCATATCTTCCCTTTGCACTGGTGCGGCATCGCTATCCTGAGGGGCTTGGTCTGTGGTGGGCTCTGGTTCTGCCTCTGCGACATTCTTGCGGGGCCGTCCTCTCTTCCTCTTCTTCGGGGGATCCCTTTGTACAGGGATTGGTTCATCTGGGTCATCTGTCGCAGGTAGGTTGTCTTCCTCCTTTTCTCTATAGTACAGTTTGACCTGCGTACATCGGAGCTTTAGTGGGCCATTCTCCCTCTCAATGATGACGTCTCTCCCTTCGATGCTCTTAATCTCGTACGGGCCAGTCCAGCCTTCCTTCTCTCTCCATGCCATGATCTCTGAGCCGAGGGGGAGGTTGAGAACTTCGTGCGTTGTAGGGCCATTGCGGGTGTTAATCGCACGATTGATGTTCACTCTTGCACGGTCCTTTTGAAGTATCTTCATTGCCTTTTGTACAGCGCTTGCTCGTGCGATA